TGTTGGTACAGCCCATAGTCTCGACATAGTGATCACTACGCAATGTTGCCAAGAGTATTTTTGGTTCACAGAGAAGAAGTGAATTTCACGATTCCAGTTTCGCTGGAGCTGCTCACGGGACCTAGGCGAGGTCAAAACTGCAGTCCACTTCTGTTGGAATGACAATATGTTTTGAGAAAAAAACTTTGTGGCACTATTTTCCAAATTTTCGTTGGGGCCAATTCAACCAAATTTTTTTTCGAGCAGTAAATTAAAGCCTCCTTAAATAGCATAATGCCAGTGCCTATAAATTAACTTCCCAATGTAACAAGAGTGCTGAAAATAACAATGATAAAAGCCAGATAATACATATATTTAGAGCGAAAAGCAATCTCACCAGCCTGAATACTAGAAGAGATTCGAGTCTGCAACCCGAGGTTATTGCCTCGGTGACAACTTCAAGACATATTGTGACTTGTACGCTCAATCACGTATTTACATGCGGAGAAAAGCTGGGATGTGATGAATCTCTTGTTTCACAATTGTTGAGCTTATTTCCATTTCGAGTGAAAGTGTTTGCTGAAGATATTCGAAGAGTGATTCCAGCAAAAGGTGACGACGATTTCCTCTTGACCAGCTATCGATTGGCTTTACTAGAACCTTCATGTTTGACGCTGTCTCCGAGGCAATCTCCTTCGATTCCGATGCAAAGTTGCTAAGCTTTCGTCCGTCATCTGACGGACATCATCATCGACAAATCTCTAAAAAGTGGTATATATACTCTACTTTTTCTTGACTCGTTAGCTTGAATTTGGTTGTGACGATAATACCTCTTGCTCTGATGATGTTCCGCACATGACGGACGAAAGCTTAGCACCTTTTTACCGGAATCAAAGGAGATTGCCTCGGAAACAACGTCAGCATAAATGTTGCAGTAAAGCCAATGAACAGCTGGTCAAGAGGAATCCGACGTTGTCTTCGGTTGGAATGGGTCTTCGAATCTCTTCAGCAAACACTCTCACTCGTAGTGGTAGAAGCAAGCTCAACAACACGTAATTACAGACATAATTATATGTATTGGCTAAGGGGAAAAATATGTGCGGGTATAAGTGAGAAAGCCAAAATATGTCTTGAGATTACGGCTGACGATTCACTCTTAGTGGATGAATTAGTTGACTTTGATTATTTCTCTTTTTAGCACTTTTGTCGAAGGCTTTGTAAAATGTATAACGCAGTGGATTTTGGAGGTTTTGTTAGAATCGTCATCAGCCCAATTATTGTATTTATTTTTATGATAATCGAGCCACTTCCACCAGGAAAATGTGAATTACGATAGGATTACATTCGCCCATTCGAAGAGGTAGAAGAGAGCCAGACAAAGTGGCAGATACACCAACCAGAAGCAAAACTTTTGTGATGCATATCATGCAAGTCCTCACATCATCCCGGTCTGTTGAAGGTCTCGAAGCATGCCCATTTGGTAGATGTCTACTTAAGGTTGTTGAATGATTGATCATCCTCACCAAAATGGTACAGACATCTACAAACGCTTCTAGGGATAAGCAGAAAAGCATGCCCACAAAATATGTAATTGACGCACCGAAAACGTTTTCTTGGTAAACTTTGGCTTCAGAAGGCGAAGCAGCTGTTTCTTCGTCGGCTGTTGACCCACGGTCAAAGATTGTTCCGCTTCTTGTCCGCAGAAACTGAGACGCACAAAACTCGCATTCAGTCCGTTCAGCTTTTGGCGGCCCGACTCGCCCACCTCCACGGCCTCGTCCGTCTCTCTTCTCTCCTCTTTCTCCCGGCAACCGCGTATCCTCGAGACGGCGATCAGTTGCTTTTGCTCC